TGCCGATCCGGGGCTCGCCCCCCCCCCGTAGTGACCCAGCCCTGCCCTGAAGGCCTCTAGACGGCTTGGGGGACTCATTAAGCATATTTTTGTGATGCCCTGTACCCACGACCGTGGGCCTCCCAACATCGCTGGCCAGGAATGATGCGGACCTGATTCGTTATGGTTGAGATTTCAGAGAAGCTAAGTCAGGGGTTCATGCCCTGGAGGCAAAGCCTCACAGTTGGGCGCTGCCAGAGGTTTGGGGATAAGGTGGGTGGAATGTGGAAGAATTTCTGATTGTTTTGATTTTACTTCTAGAAAATAAAAGTAATTAAAGACCTGTATTTGTATACCAAATCTTTGAGAGCAACTTTGGGAACTAGAAGGACCCAGTCCCATTCGCTATCACTTTGAGATGACAAAGGCTGGCAGAGGCTATTATTGAGGGTCTCCTCTGGTCAGGGATTTTCATATTTTGTCATCTCCATACCTACTTGCCAAGGTTGTTTCAAGGACTATTGTCCACTGATTTACAGAACTGAAGGACAGTAATTGGAAGTTAGGAGGCCAGATCCCCTGTGGGCACATAGACTTTTAATTTTTTTTTATAGTTGACATTTTGAACCTCTGCTCTTTACTAGTACGTTTCCTATTTCTGGAAGGCTGTTGTTAAAAATGTGTTTGCCTTTTTCCTACTCTTTCTTTAAGAATTAGATGAATTTATAAATTGTGAGGGATTGACCTGGGGTGCTAGGACGCTTGGAGAGGGACTGTGTCAGAAGGGTAAAGAATTGAGAAACAAGAAGTTGGCAGGTGTCAGGGAAGGGCAGGCCGGGAAGCAGACCCAGAGGAGAGTCTGGGGGAACTCAGGACTTGGAGCAGTCATTGGGCTATATAATACATCTTTTAAGGATGGCCATGATTTCCCACTGCCCCATCACTGCCCTTGTTAACTGCAGCCCCTCCTACTACTTTATGTTTTTTTCATGGAGTTTTCTCCCCGAGGCCTTTGCGCATGCTATTCCTTTGGCAAAAGGAGTGTTTCCCCCTACACGTCCAGATGGCTCACTTCCCTGTTTTCTTTAGGTCTCTGCATGTTGTCAGCTTTCAGGGGTCCTTCCCTGACTACTCCATATAAAACAGCAACCAGGAACTCCCTGGTCCTCTTATGTTACTCAGTTTTTTCTCTTAGCACTTATTATCCCCTGCCATTATGTATGTATTTGTATATTTGAGTAATATCTGTCTGCCCTTATCAGAAGTTTCATGAAGGCAGTGATTACCTTGCCTTGTTTACAGTTCCAGAACCTAGACAGATTCTTAGCATGCAGTAGGTGCTCAATAAGCATTTGTTGACTGACTGAAAGATGACTATGCTGAGACAGGCCTACCAGGGAAATAAATATACCAGGCAAATACTGTGGCACTAGAGGCAGGTGAAAAACCCAGGTAACAGGCTTTTGTTTTTTTCCCCCTCTTCTCTAACTCATTCTTTCAGATCCTGTTCTGCTGTGAGTAGACTTAGAATTTCAGCCTGAAGAAAAGAACAGAGAGTTGATCCCCCTCTTAGAATTTCACACTGTTGCTGGGAGAAGTGGCATGCATCTGTAGTCCCAGCTACTCAGGAGACTAAGACCAGAGGTTCACTTGAGCCAGGAGTTTGAGACCAGCCTGGGCAACATAGTAGAGACTTTGTCTCTACCAAAAAAAAAAAAAAAAAAGAAGAAGAATTTTAGAGTGAAGAAAGGAGCAGGAACAGAAAAGAGAGGTGATTCCTTGGGAGATGAGAAAATCAGTACACTTTATTAATAACTCATTACTATTCCAGATCTAGCGTTTTATCAATCTCCTTTGGAAAAAATCTTTTAAAGTCTGTGTTGCTTTAGCCAAAGAAATACTCTCTAGCAGGAAGGGCATTAATACAAGGGGAGAGAAAGCAGGGGCGTCCACTGTATCCCATTCTACTCTCCCAGAAGATGGACCTGAAGGCAGAAGACCTGAGGCTATACGGGAGGCAGAAAGAGGAGATGTGTGGCAGATGCAGGAGAGAAGAGAGAAATGCCTAGGAGAAAAATGAAAGGGTGAAAACAGTTGAGGAGTGTCAACAAGAGCTGCTAAGCCTTAAACATTTATTAAATTACCATATTGAAGAGAAGACAATGCTTGAGTGTTTTCAATACTTTACACCCTTTGGGTGTTTGGTGTGGGTGGGTGGAGAGGGGTGGGGAAGGGAGGGCTTTGAAGCCCTTGCCAGAGGATGTGGCTGGGGGCATGGCCAGAAGCTCTTCTAAGCACACACTTTGCTTATTTCATCATCTTGCCTATCGTTGGAGTGTTCGAGGTGATCATTCCTACTGAGGTGACATTTCCTGTCTTGATTAGGACAGCGGGTACCATTAAGATTTTTAACTGAAGCCTACAACCACTTTTTAATGCCTGAAACTAGGTAGATGATTTTGTTTATTAGATATTCTGTTGAATTTGGAAAAGGTGAATTATTAAACACTCTCTGTGTCACAAAGCCTGGAGTGTTTGCTACTAGTTGTGCAACTCCAGTCTGTTTTCTTTTAGTCAATTAGACTAGTGTTTTTCAAGCTTAGGGTTGCAACCCATGAGGGGATCATGATATCAGTTTAGTAGGTCCAGATCAGTGGTTTCAGACATGAAAGAGAAGAGAGTGGCATGGAAAAGGGTGTTTCACAAAACAGACACCGAATCTCAATGTGGAAGTGTCGCTCCATGTGGCTCACGATTTTTGAACACCTGTTTTAATAATTCTGGAGGAATCTATATTTTTAATCATTTTGCCAGGGATTCTGATGAAGATGGTCCAGAGGGCTATACTTTTAAGAAATACTTAGGCCGGGCTCAGTGGCTCAGCCTGTAATCCTGCGCTTTGGGAGGCGGAGGTGAGTGAATTGCCTGAGCCCGCGGGTCCGAGACCCGCCTGGGCAACTT